CTGGGCCCAGTCCCAGAGGAACTGAATCAGAATCTTGGGGAGTATCTTTTGGGGTGAGGCTGAGGCATCTAAACATTTTAAAGGCTTCCCAAGTGATTCTGTGGCCATGGTTGAGAACAGCTCCTTATTCCTTTCGCACCCGTCTCTCAGCCTTTCTGAGACCTATGACCCCCTGGCCTTTACCTTTTCTCCTAGCTCTTCACCTTCTGCCTCCCTCCCTCCCTCCCTCATTTTCTGCCTGCTGCAGGCCTGATCCCAGAGCGGGTCCTCATCTGTTCACCTCAGCATGCCTGACGTCTTCACCACATCCCCGTGACTACTTCTAGACTTTGTCCCTCTCGTCAAGTTCCCTACTAGACCACCCGCTGGACTGCTCCCTCTCGGGGGAAGACATTATCTTCATAGAGAAAATTGAGGCCATCAGTTTTGCTGCTTCTCAGTTTTGTGTCACTATAGTGACATGTGTCTGTCCCCTCCTTACTTCTCCTCCCTTCTCACGTGAAGAAGTGTCCCTTATCTTGGGCAAGGATGATGGTTCCTCCTCCACTGTGGTCCCGTTTCCTTCTCTTATCATCTGGAGTCTACCTTATTGGTTTGTCCCTCTTTTATGTTTCCACTTTCCCCTCTCTCCTGGCTTCTGCTTTTACAGACTATAAATGATAAAACATGGCTAAGATTCTCATTTTTGAAAAACAAAAATTCCTTCTCACAACCCAGATCATCCTCCAGCTACTGTTCTGTCTCCTTCCCACTTCGTTCACAGGGAAGCTTCTTAAGGGTCACTGCCTTCCTGTCTGTGCCTGAGGCTGATAGGACAGAAGTCATCAATGCCCTGTAATCACTCAGTTCACCAGATTCCTTTGAGTCCTGACCTCTAAACCCAGGTGGCTAATGAGAAGCTCATCTTCATGCCCTGGTCAGGAGATGAATGACCAGAGCTGGAACTGTGGCAGCGAGAGAGCAGGACTCCCCATACCTAAGTCCTCTCCTTATGGTCTTGACTGGACTATTGCAAGACCTCCCAACTGATCTAGATGCCTGGGTTTTACTCCTCCTTGGTAAATGGCCAAGTCCACTCTAATGCCAGACAGAAGAGGCATGCCTCTTTGGTTGGTGAGGGAGGTTCTCTCTCTCTGCCTCACTCCACTGTTTCTCTGGTGACCACTGATATTTTTATTGCCTGGTTTGCATTGCTTCTTTAATGCCTTTTCATTATAGTTATCTCCTTCTTGGAGAATATGCCGGAGGAAAAATTCCCAATAGATACATAAATATACCACATACACTCACACACATGCCCATCAGCCTCCAATTCATTCTTCATGCTGCTGTCTCCAGGGCAAGTCCAGACTCTTGGAGCATGCCTTGTAGGACACCTGCCTGGCCCCTTTTCTCTGTTTGTACCACCTCTCCTCTCGTGTCTTGATTTGCTCAGGCTCCCCAGATGGTAATTCGTCCTCTCTTCACTTTTTTTTTTTTTTTTTTTGCCTTTTTGTCTTTTTTTACTGACCGGTAGG